CGCAGAGCCGCCGCGCAGCCGCCGCGCTTTGTTGCCTTTAAGTTATGGTTTCTCCGTGTATTTGTAGACACAACCATGCAGAAAATCACCGGCTTTAATGCCACACTTGTTAGCGGGGAGTGATTCGTTTCTGCCTCCGGGCTGACACTTCCCAACCTTCTGCTTTTATTTCCTCCTCGCCAGGTTGGGGCTGGCGGTGCCGCGCGATCATCACTCACCCCCACGCCTCCGATGCGCCTGGCGCTGGGCTGGTCTCTGCAGCTTCCTCGGCCATTTTCTGCACAACATCACTCTCGTTTGGAGCCATGGAGACCGCTGCACAAGACGTGGAGTTCAGCACAAAGCCCCCAGGCAGGAGCCCGTGCCGCAGGGTGAGGGGACCCAGCACCCTGCACTGCACCCCATGAACCACCCCGATGAACGTGTCCTGCTCCGGCACACGCTGGCGCTGCCAGGGCACCGCATGGGCTGCACCTCTGGGTCACCAGCAAACTTTGCTGTCCCCGGGGGACATGGGGGCACGTCCAGGTTCCCACCTAATGCACCTCACACCGGTGAGACAACCCCTGTGCCCACATCGGGGGTCACGGGTGGGGGTCCTGCCCGCAGCGTCCCGCTCAGGATGCCCAGGTCTCGAGGGTGCAGAGCCTGCCAGTGGCACTCCTGATGCTCCTGATGGAGCACACGGGCTGCTGACCTCAGGGCCACCCCGAGCCCTGCCCTAGGAGCAGCAGGAGAGCTCACGGCCGTTGGCCATGGCGTGAGGAGCCCTTCCATGGGCTATCAGCACAGCTCTGCTCCAGCTTGGCCTCCCAATTCTCACTTGCACTAGAGGCACAACGTGAGCTGCTGCACCTCACCATGAGAGGTCTCCTGCCACCTCATCACCCTGAGAGTCCCCAGAAGCTGTCTGATCTTCTGGAGAGAGGCAAGAAACAGCCTGTACATGAACCCTGGCTGAGAAAGATGAAAAACACAAGTGAAGGGCTGGGTGATTGCTGCAGTAATCCCCAAGTGCTTCTGACATCTTCCAGTACAAATAATTTCACTAATAAATTCGAAAGCCCAGCTAAGCCCTCAAGCCTCAGGTACCAGGCAAGAGTTCCCAGCAGGCTGTAGCCAACGTTCTTGCACAATGCCCAAGAAGAGGGAACAGAGACTCACACACCAAGTCCAAAAGGAAAACCTGATCTGTTTAATTACACAGTACAGACAGAAGTGGGGACATGGAGAAACCTAAGATGGGTAATGGTAAATTCTGCTTTTGGAGACACCCGTGTCACTGTGATGCTTGGATAAGTGGCTCTTGCTCCCCAAAGGTTCCTGGAGCTTGTGCAAATGCCAAGGGAGGACATCACCAGTCCTGCCTGAGCTGGGGCTGGTGGCCACCACAGTGTCCCCCCACTCACCCCTTCCCATGTACCCCAAACAGCAGCTCCTGGTTTTGTGAGCTCACCCTGGTGGGATCCTGCAGCACCAAGTAATTTATTTCCTCTCTTCATACCTGTATAAAACATGTCATGAGGTTTAATGTGTCATCACCTCCCTCCCAGTGATGTACTCGCAGCTCTCTGCTAAGCCCAGACAAGGAGATTTACATCTTATCTAGAGGAGTGTAAGATTTACAGATGGCTCCCGATAAGGAACACGTCATGCCAGAAAGACACGTTTGTGCTAGTAACTTGATCAGTCATTATGCTGTAAGTTGACATCTAATTAAACCTCCACAGGGATCATCAGGTTGAGAACAGCTCTTCAGGAGGAGAAAATCCACCTCTAAGCCCCATGGTGCCATCTCATCCCTGCAGCTTGTCCCCAGAGCCTTGCACTGATGAAAATTATGGTGATGGAGCATCCTCAGCCCCCCTGGGCAACCTGTGCCAGCGCCTCAGCACCCTCACAGTGAAGAACTTCTTCCAGTAGGGCTCTGGGAAGAGCTGCCAACGTCACCTACACTATAATGAGGTGCAGAAGGGGCAAATTTCCAAGCACTGCTCTAACCCACAGCAATGGCTCACGCTGCAGAGACTTTCCTAGTTTGGTTTGTGTCCCTACCAACGTCAGATGCCACAAAACACCTCCTGTGGAACCAGTGGACTCACCTGCAGGTTACCACCTTCTCAATGGATTTACTTTTCTGAACACATTTCTTGCCTCTAACTGTGCTGCAGACAGCAGTGTAGCAGTGGAAATCCTGCTCTCCCTCGGCAGCCTGCTGGGCATTTTTCTTCATATTTTCTCTTGACGCTGCTGCCTGGATGCCTTCAGTGGGGATGCACAACGTGGCTGAGACTCTGCTGCTCTTGGCAGCGTCGGTCGTGCTGGGGAGGAAAGGAACAGGGCGCTGGGGGGAGCCAGGGGCTCTGAACGTGTCAAGATGCTCCTGGAACCTGCGCCCCATAACTCACCACGCACAAAGGACAATGGTCACCTCCCCAGGCTGCAGGTGTTTCAACAACCACTGAACACTCCATCCCATTGCCAAGGGATTCGGACCAAACACGGACAATTCAACCCTCTCTGGAAGAGTGGTCATGCCTCAAAGCTGAGGTCACAGATATCCAGGGGGGGGACAGCCAGAACGTGGAGCACGAAGGAGAGCTGGGTGAGACCACGGAGGATGCACTCACATGGCCTGTGCAGGTGGTCCAGGGTTTGTCCTCTGGACCAAAAAAGGGAAGCCAGGAGAATGTGATGGACCCCAAGCACAGGAAGGAGAGAGCCTGGCTCCCTTCCACAGACACTCTCACTGCCTGCAGAGACACTGTCAGAGAAGGCAAATGTCACACACCGGTTTTTTACCAGTTGAAATATTGCTGGTGACTTTTGATGGGGACTGGGTTAAAGAGAGGAATAGATTATTGTATGTGTACATTCCAGAGGTTAGAGGAGATACCTTGGGAAAAAAATTGATCTTTTGTCTGGTCTAAAACTCACTGAACCAAACAGAAAACATCCTACTGCCTTCCACGGACTTACCCAGGCCTGATGGCCATCCCTGATGAGGTGCCAAGACCTTCTTCAGAGTGATTCCTCCTTCTGGTCTGCATTGCCCAGCTGGGAGAGTGACACAAACCACAGCAGCTTCTTGCTGGCGTGGACACGGTGCTGGGAGTCCCTGTGGCTGCAGAGCAGAGAAACAGAGGCTCGCTTTCTAACAATGTTTGGTTTCTTGGCACCCTCCACCCCGAGACCTTTCGTTGTGCTCCTCGGTCACACCACAATGAAGACAAGCTGCCCCAGCACCTGTGCCCCAATATTTCACCTCGTTAGGTCAACAGCCTGTGTAATCATAAAATAAAATATTGTAATCACAATAAAAATGGTATATGAAACAAAGTGTCCACCCAACGTCCTGGTTTCTGGCTCTCTTTGCCAACTTCTGCCCCGTCAGCCTCGGTCGTGAGGATATATAAACCAGCAGAGTCCCTGGGGTGGCCACGGCAAGAGACGGGCCGAGTCGGAAGGATGGGAGGACTGGCCAGGACAGGTAAGGATGCACCTGCAAAGGGAGCAGCTTCATACAGGCACTGCTTGGACTCGGGTGTGTCTCTGCAAGGGTCAGCTCTCAACAGAACTTGGCTTTCTGCACAGACCAACCTAAATGTGTGTGTTTCTGCAGGTTCCATTTGCTGAATTACTTCTTTTCTTAATATTGCAAAAGAGCAGGATGAACATTGTAACAATCCCCAAATGTTTTTCAGAGAGGTAGATAGCACTGTCGCCTTTCCATCTGCTTGCAGCCTCCTCCCTAACTTCCCATTCCTCAGTTCCTTCTAGCTCCTGTTTCTCTGCCCGTGCCAAAGCAGCTCCAGGACTCACTCTGCAGCGGGCAGGACGTCACTGCCAGCCCTGCTCAGCACAGACTTGCTGCAAGGCTGAGCCTGCTGACCCTGATGACTCTAACCCTAACCCTGACCCTGACCCTAACCCTAACCCTGACCCTGACCCTGACGCTGCTTTAACCCCCCACGAGGGAGCTGTGTGGTGTTACTGCACAAATGCTGAAACTGGGGATGGCAGAGCTGAGCAGGGAGCGGGCCTGTGGCTCTGCAGCGTGGCTCTGGGCTGGGCACACACCACTCTGACCTGGGCACACACCACTCTGACCCTGGCACACACCACTCTGACCCTGCTGCTGCTGCTGCTCTGCCCCCAGGCGCCGGCGTGGCGAAGCTCCGCACCCTGAGCATCCTCCTCAGCCTCCTGGGCCCCGCCTGCCCCACCAGGTCCCCCGACTGCGGGGGCATCCTCACCCCAGCGGGACTGAGCTACAGTAAGTGTGGACCCCGTGTCTCCCAGGGTGCCAGCAGGGGGGGGAGGTGGCAGCAGCTGCCAGCCCGGTGATGAAACACCAAAAGCTGCCACCAGAAACTTAATGCCACCAACCGAGTCACCTCCAGCAGCCCCTCCCTGCAGCTCAGAGCTGGGGGGTCAGTAGCGGTGGGAGCGGGTCACCAGGACGGGTTGCAGTCTGTCCACCTCTGTGCATCAGACCAGGAGCCCCAGGGGGTCTCACAGAACATCTGCCCTGTTCCACAGTTGCTGAAGCTTCAAAGCCACACGCAGAGATAGTCCTCAAGCAGGAACTAATGGCCGTGCCAGCCCCGGACCTGTTTCCCAGCTCCCCAGAGTCCAGCGGGTGAGTCCATGCTCTGTCTTGCCCAGGTTTTGCCACAACACCTCTGTGTTTAAATCAGACGTGTTTAGCTGGAGCACTGTGAACATCATCACCAAAGGTATTTTGCCAGCAAGGACAAAAATCCTCCTGGAGACCAACAGGGCTGTTTGTCAGAGTGGATTTGAAACGAGGTCCTGGCTCCTACCTTGGGGTCCAAAGGCAGCAGCCCCAGTGCCCCCCTCGGGGCACTGATGTATCTGTGAATATCTCCTGAACCTGAGGGGTTTCCCTACTGTGAGAGCAGCCAGGGGTTGCACACTGGAGGGGAAATTTAGATCAGAAATTAGGAAGAAGAAGAAATTAGGGTGGTGAGACCCTGGCCCAGGTTGCCCAGGGAAGCTGTGGATGATCCATCACTGGATGTGTTCAAGACCAGGTAGGATGGGTTGCAGAGCAACCTGCTCTAGTGGGAGGTGTCCCTTTCTGTAGCAGGGGGGTTGGAACTAGATGATCTTTAAGGTCACTTCCAAGCCAAACCATTCTGTTATTCTATGACTTCAGGATTTATCAGCACGTGCTGGTCTCCTGACACCTCCATTTCTGCTCCAGCAGGAACCAAATTGACTCCATCAAAGTCACCGAGCTGTCCCTGTCGCTCATCCCCCACACTGGGCTGCGCCTGAACATCGCTGTGGACCTTGGCATCGCCCCTGCCCCGTGAGTGCCAGGGCCACGGGGCTGGGCACAGCCCAAGCTCCCAGCCAGAGCCACGGGGCCACCTCCAGCACCTGAGTCTGCCCAGGGGAGTGGGGGGGGCTGGGGCAAGGGGCACCAGGAGCAGCCTCCACACTCCAGCCTCTGCCTCTGCTCCCCTGGCACAGCTCGAGCCCCAAGGTGAAGAGACTGTCCATCCTGGCGGACCTCCACGTGGAGATGAACCCCGAGGGGTACCTGGAGCTAGTGACCTCTGCCTGCAAGCCCACTGTGCAGGAGAAGCAGAGCACCGAGGAGATAGAAAGGTCGACCCCACAGTTTTCCTTGTTATGGGGTTTGGGTAGCAGGGGGGAAAAAAAAGACCCTGAGGCACAAGCATCTCTAGGCAGGAAGGTGACGTGACAGAGATCTGCTCACTGCTCTAAAAGCTTACAAAGGTTAACACAAAAACTGTGTCTTCGTGGGAGGGACTTTGTTCTGCTCGCAGGGTTGTTTCCCCCATTTTAAGAGTTTCATTCTCTCACCAGGGAGCAGATCTTTTTAGTAGTGTAGCAGGAACGTTTGCAGTGCAAGACCAACAGCAGCTCTTCAGTGGTTCAGGATTCTGAAGTGTAGTCATAGCTTAACAGGCAATAGAAAATATTTCCTACACTGTCCCCGGGTGCCCTTTGGGTGGGATAAAAGGTGCTCACCTACCCGGGGCTGAGCTGGTTCTTGCCTAACACCTTCTGTTCTGTTGTTTTCATGCAGCAAGTCTTCTAGTTTGGAAGAGAAAAAGCAGATTAACGTTGATAAGGTAAGATAAAACTTGTGAAGGCATGAGACAGGCCAAGACAACATTGCACAGTTCCACAAGGCTTTGAGAACCTAAAGCCAGCCTGGTGCTTTGCCAGGTCTCCCCCGGCAGCCCGGGCGGGGAGCAGCAGCCCCATGGTCACTGACTGCTGCCATGCTCCACCTCCCGGGTACCACACAGTGGGGACAGCCCATCGGAGGATGCCTGATGCCAGCAGACCCACCTACTGCCCCTCTTTCTGTTCTTTATTCCATAGATTTGCCTGGAAGTTTCCAAACTGCTGCTCTTTCCAAACGAACAGCTCATCTCTCTTACAAGTGAGCATTTGGCTTTCAGTCTCCTTATGGGCTAAGGGCTTTGGGGCTCACTTTGGAGCAGGTCACGAGGTGGGATGGGCTCCCACCCTGCAGCAGAAGCCCAGCAGCAGCAGCTCCACTGCCCCCACCTCCCCGGGGACCCCCTCCCTCCACCCGGCTCTCCTTCCCTGTCTCTGCCCCGGGGAAACCCGGATGCTGCCCAGCCCCAGCCTGCCACCACTGCTGCCCTCCTGAGCGCCCCTCTGCTCGCTTTGCAGCTCAGTTCCCCATCTCCCCGAGCTGCCAGGCCCAGTACCTGCCCCTGGCTGTGCCCGTGTTCTCCGAGCAGGGAATCACCATATCCTTGCAAGTAAGTCCTCGCTTTCCAGCGCCCCCAGCCCAGCTCCAGGCTTTGGGAGAGCCGCTTCCTCCCAGTGCGGCGTGCCCAGAGACTCCTCAAACTCCTTTTCTCCTCGCAGACAACTTTCCAGGTGGCAGGCATGGGGATCCCCCTGCCAGTCAGCCCCGTGCCGTTCACCATGCCCGAGCTGGCGAGCTCCAGCCCTTCCCACCTCACCCTGGCTTTCTCTGAGCACTTCTACACCAGCTTCTTCTTCGCTCTGGAAATCTCTGGGGCCTTCAACATGACCATCCCGGTGAGTAGAGCAAGCGAGCAAGGAGCAAAACCATGCACTGAGGGGGCCAACCCTGCCCCGTGAAGGGCTCAGAGAAGCCAAGCAGTCAGGGTGCCTCTCTGAGTGCCCGTGGGAGCCACAGCCCCTCAACCCCAGGTTCCCAGGGACATTGCTGCTCTAATGATTCATGGAAAATGAGCCATGAAGAGTAACCCGAGTGCTGCTCCAGGCCCGAGCTGGGTGCAGGAAGGCTCTGGCACCTGTCAGACCTGGCACAGAGCTCACGGCAGGGTCCACGAGGCCCCGCTGGACCAGGGCAGCCACCCAAGCAGCCAGCAGTTGGATAACAGGCTCTGCTTTCTCTTTCAGAGCCTGCTGACCACCTCCACCGTGGCACAGAAGATTACTCAGGTTTGTTGCCACCGCTCCGAGAGGCACGGCCCCACCTCGGGCAGAGCCCCCCGGCTGCCTGCCCCCCGTGCCCAGGGGTAACCCCCCTCCCTCGGCAGATGGGCTCCCTCTACCAGGAGGACGTCCCGGTGGTCCTGCAAGCCGTGTTCAGGAGCTCACCTCGGGTGGTGCTGGAGGAAGGCAAGGCAGCCCTGAAGCTCTTCCTCACCATCCACGTCGGGGCGGGATCCTCGGCTTTCCAGAGCTTCCTGAGCGTCAACGTGGTGCGTGTGCCCTGCGGGCGTGCCAAGCACAGGGGCAATGCCCTGAGCCTTCCCCTGCCCCACAGTCTCACACAGCACTGCCCCCGCTGCGGGTGGCAGCTCAGGGGTGGGTTCATGGCGTGCCCCTGCTGAGAGCTGGAGCGTTGCCTGGCTCTGATCCTGGCCTCTCTGTTCCCCCCCAGGACATGTCTGCAGGACTCCTCCTGAGCGTCGCCGACACAAAGATGAAGATCTCTGCAGCAGAGATAGAGTAATGAACCCAGCCCTGCCCCGAGCCCTCGAAGGGGACACGTCCCAGTCAGAGCAGGGAAAGGAGAGGCAAAGTGGCCCAGGGAACTCCTTAGCTTTTATGGTTTGGGCACTGCAGAGGTAGCTCTAGCCTGGAGGAAATGGTGAGATGCCAGTAACGTGGTTGGAGACACCAGTGGAAATCACACCCTTCCACCCCGTGTCCAGCACAGTGACCAGCACGTACCAACACCATCCAGCTCTTGTCCCATGCCCAGCCCACTCCCCTGTGCAGCCCACCTGCTTCAGTAGGCCCCAAGAGAGCCGTTCAGTCCAGGTCCCAGAGGCCAAAACATCCTCAAGCCCTTTGCTGTTGGGCCTGGGGGAAAATGAAGGTTCCACCCAGCTGAGCAGAGGTCCCCAGGCCCCATGGTTGCTGCTGGCTCGGCCCTGGCCTCAGCAGTAGCTCTGGGGGAGGCTGCAGCTTGTGGCAGCTCCTTACAGGCAAGTAGGCCCCAAGAGAGCCGTTCAGTCCAGGTCCCAGAGGCCAAAACATCCTCAAGCCCTTTGCTGTTGGGCCTGGGGGAAAATGAAGGTTCCACCCAGCTGAGCAGAGGTCCCCAGGCCCCATGGTTGCTGCTGGCTCGGCCCTGGCCTCAGCAGTAGCTCTGGGGGAGGCTGCAGCTTGTGGCAGCTCCTTACAGGCAGCTCCTGAGCTGCTCTTTGTTTTCCAGGGATATCGAGCTCAGCCTGGCTGCCTCCGACGTGGGTCCCGTTCCGGTAGGTGCCCCCAGCTCTGCACCCCCCAGTCACCAACCACGGCCACGTCCCCTCCTTGCACCCTGCTGCTGTGGCTGGGGGGGCAGCCCTTAGCAGCAGGGAAATGGGCACTGTGGGTGCTTGCTGCACACTGCAGCAGGGAGAGCAGGTCCACACGGGATGAGGAGAGGTGCAAGCAGCATCAGGACCCCGATTCTGCTGGCCCTGCCCCTCTCCCCCTGCTCTGGAGCAGGGCTGGGGGCTGACGGGGTTTCCTTTGCCAGGCTGACTTGCTGGAGGAGCTGCTCCTGCCCACAATCCGTGCCGAGGTCCTGGCCCAGGTGAACGGTGAGTCCTGCAGGTGCTGCCCCAGGGGGTGCGTGGTGGGGCTGAAGGCAGCACCCACCTGGCAACTTTCCCTCTTTTGTCCCCAGTGGTCCTGAGTGAAGGCATACTCCTGCCCCACATGTCCAGCTTCACCTACACCGACGTCAGCGTCGAGATTCACAAGGTGAGAAATAAGATTTTGGAATTGCTCCCTGCTTGAATTGAAGGGACCCCAGGAGCCACCTACTGGCCCCAGGATCCATCAGAGCCTGCTCCTCTAGCCCTGTTCAAGGGGTGAAGCTGGGTTCTGGGGGTCAACACGCCCAGCTGCACCCCAGCCCTGCCGACAGGAGCAGAGGCTGCGTGGGAGGGGCCGGGGGCTGTGCAGAGCCCCGGGCAGGGTGAGGGGCACCGTGCTCAGCCCTCCCTCCTCCCCGTGCTTAGGACTACGTCCTGGTCCCCTGCAACCTGGAGCTGTGGGCAAGGACTGAAGAGCAGAGCAGCACGAGCTGAATGCACAGCAAAACAGCAGCAACGTCCTTCTGTTGACTCTGAAATCACACTTTGTGCTTTGTCTCTGCTTAAGATGTTGAAAATCTTCTTTCTTGCCTTACTAAGACAACACTTGCTCGGATCTGGGTAACAGCAGTGATGCACTCGCAGCTTTCCCTTCCCCTCCTGCTCTGGACATTTTTGTAGCACAAAGAGGATGGATTGTAACAATGTTCCATGCTTTAATTAAACATTTCTCCTTCCTACTGCATTTTCTGGTATGGCTATTGTCTTTTCTCCCCTCAATGATTTGTACCTAAAGACAGAAGAATTTTGTCTTGCTAACGGACTGGTACCAGTACAGATGTCCAGACCTTACATTTAATTAAGGGACCATGAAAATTCCACTAATTTCTACAGATGCAAAGCAGTCCCTCTCAGCTGCAGAATGACACAGCCCCTACCAACAGGAGATCTTTCATCTGCCTTTTCCTCCATTTCTCCTGTTACTATGGGAACATTACAGCTGTTGGTTTTCCCTGGGTCAGGAAGAAAGGTGGGGGAAAGGGGAAAAAAAAAAAAAAAATAGAAAATCAATCTTGTACAATGGTTTCTAATTTTAGCCTTGAAGGCAGGTGTATTTTCAAGGCTGTGTTTCTGACAAAGCTCACCACAGAGGAAACACTGGGTGCAGGGGGACTGCAGGGACAGACGGTGCCAGGCGCCCGCCGTGGGGCACCCGAGACTGGCATGGTCCTTCTGGGGCACCAAGCGTGTCTCTGTGCTCGAGGGGTTGTTCAGGAAAATAAAGGAGGGGGGAAAAACCCACAACAGACTTAAGTGCCCAGAACAGTGGGCTGGCACCAGGGCTCTGAAAGGCCCCGAGTCGCTCTGCGCCGGGCGCTGCTGGCAGTGCCAGGGTGGGTGCAGGGCAGTGCCAATGCCCAGGAGCACCCGCAGCCCCCCTGCTGCCCCTCCTGGGCACGCTCTGCAGTGGGGGTGCCCAGGAACCCCTGGTCATTACAGACACATCTGCTCTCCCTTGCAGCAGCTGCACACAGCACCTCCAGCCTGCGGAGCTGCCGGGGGGCTCTCCAAAACCTCATATTTCAGAGACTCAGAAATAGGAAAGCAAACAAAACAAGCCAGGCTGATTTATCATCAGGAGTAAAAAACCCTGAAGGTTTATATGCCCAGCTTGGGGACCTGACTAATGATTTTAATGCCTGAAGTTGGCAATAGTGGGAACTGCTCCTAATAAAAGTTTCCTGGTAGAGCTGCAACCATTACTCTTCAACTAATACATCTGAAACCAGTTTCCCAAAAGGAATAAGCTACAGCAGTAAAAATGTGTATTTATTTGCCAGTGGATATTCTGCCTCCAGGCTTTAGTGCATAGCTCTGCACCCCCAGAGCAGGGTTGGGGTGACAGGAGCTGCCCACCCCAACCCCCAGCCCCCAGGTCCTGCCTGGGACAGAGCTGCTTACGTGGGAGAACTGGGGTCTGCTGCTGCTCCCTCCTGTCACCCAATTCTCTGAGCCCCCAGCAGGGCTGCAGCCATAGGAGAGAGCCAGTGCTGTCCCCAGCAGGCACTTCGGGTTCACCTGGGTAAAGAAATGCTGAAAAAAGTGTTTGTATTCGTGTCTCTGGCAAAAACAAAATCCAGCATTTCCCTGGGCAGCGTCCTTGGTGCTGCCCACGTGTGGCTTCCCTGCCGGGGGCACAGGGAGCTGGGTGTGACAGTCAGAGAGCTCAGACACTGCAGGAACAGGGCCGAGCCCCTTCCCCAGCCCTGCAGAGCAGCAGAGGGATGAAGCTTTTCCAGGATGATCCTGGAGCCAGGGCTGGAGAGCCCAAAATCCCTGTGCAGCTGTGTCAGAGCAGCCAGCCCATCACCCCGCTCCTGCTGCTCCCCCATAAAAAGATTTTCCAGCATGTTAGGGTGCTGGAAAATGAGAGTTTGGTGATTTTTCCACTATGGACAGGATTGTCCCTGTTCTCATGAACTCTGCTTTGCAGTTTCCTGCTCTGGATTTGCTCCAGCAGTTCATAGCACTAGATTTACGACTGCAGAAGTAACGAGTCACACCAAGGAGATGCTGCCCTTTCCTTCTGAAAAGGTTCCTCTGCTCCCTCCTGCCCAGCCCCACACGATAAACAGCACGGCAGAGGCCAGGCCCTGGGAGGAAAAGCTGTCTCCAGATGCACAAGAGGATTTTCCCACTTTTCTGTGACCCCAGGTTCACGCAGCCCTTGCCCCACGAGGCACCCAGCTCCCCAGTCCCACCCCTCCCACAGCTTCTGCCCCCAGGCAAACACAGCCCTGGGAGGTGACAGATCACAGCACTCTGCAGCCTGCCAGCAAAATCAATTCCCTCCAGCAAAGCAGAATGCACACACAAGTGCTGGCCAAAGGAGTGGGCAGAAAGGTGCTAAACGTCACATACCGTGCAGAAGGTGTTTGCTCAGGAGCCAGGGCAAACCCTGCACAAACAGAGCCCGTTATGCCAGCCTGCGGGCCAGGGGAATGCCTGGGGAAGCCAAGTCCAGCCAGCCCAGTATCCCTGAGGTGGCACAAAGCAGCTGCCAGCACAGGACAGTGGGGCTGCTCATCCTGCCCACAGGGTAACAGGGGCACACAGCCCCCAAAATCCTGCTCTGCCAGCACCGTGGGCACACTGGCACCAGAACGCACAAGCAGCAGGGTCTGAAATTCCCTGCTCCTGAGCACAGCCCCATGGTTCACAGCACTCCCTCTTGTTCACATTTTGCTTCACAGAAACTCCTCCCTCACGTGGCGTGGCTGGTGCCAGGGCTGGGCACAGCACCCTGCTTGAGCAGGGAGTCCCATCACCACACAGGAGCATCAGTTCTGGCCAGGGCCAGGGCAGGGTCTGTGTTGCCAGCAGCTGAACGGCCTCTGGAGAGCATGGTCCCACCAGCACCATCAGCCTGCATGGGGCTCAGGCCCAAAGGAGCCTCACAAACCACCAGCCTTCAGCATTACCATGTACTTCAACCCACCCAAACTCCTGCCATGGCACAGGTGGCAGCACATGGCACAGCTGGCAGCACATGGCACCAGGTTTGCCATTCACCCAGCCCGGGGAGCTCTGGGCAGCTCCCATGGACCAGGACTGGTGATGAGCCCAGGGCATCCTCTGCTGTTCTCAACAATTCCTCTGCAACGTCCCACTGGGATGCTGGAAATCAATGCAACAGCCAAGGGCTTTGGATGAGCAGATATTGGACTGTTCTTCCCTTTGGGCAGAAATGCCCAAATGACGTGGACTAGCTCAGGCAGCTCGGTGTGCTCCAGCATTATCCTGCTCCTCAGTTACCTGCTACTGAAGTTTTCCCTTCAGAGGCTATTAGGAAATGCTTTGTGACCTTTGGAAACTCAATTTCATTCCAGCCTCTGCTTGTGGGTTAGCATTTGGTCACCAGGTTCCCTGGCCAGGAGTAGCCACTGAACATCCAGGTGGGTTTGTTTTTCCCCTCTGGAAATCTGAGTGGAAAAATTTTTCAAACCAAAACAGCAGTTGTCACAAAGGAACCAGATCCCAAGGCAGGAGGCAGGGCAAAGACTCTCTGAGACGGATCAGAAACCAGAACCTCATTCCAAGCACTAAGAAAGTAGGAAAGTTTATTAAAGAGTTGTGTGACAAATGTATCCTGAGCTCGGGCTCAGCACTTCACAGCCTTCCAAATGTGGTTGGGGACGTTTGCTCAGAAAGGCAGATGCAATTTTTTCATTACATGAACAACAATTTTCCCTCAGAACAAAGTTAACGATTCCACGACAGCGTCACACAACTGCTATAACTGTGACCCCAAAATCATGCTAATTCCTCTAAATAAATATTTGTACACAGAGCTGCCTGTCAGGTTTTGCTTCCGCAAGTATCTCAGTACTCACATGAGCCAATTAGCTTTAAAGTGTCTTAAATGTTATCAGGAATCTGGAATCAGGTCTAGGAGAGAGGAGTAGATAACGCAGATCTCGATGCTCCATCCTCGCCTGAGACGAAAATCAAGACCTGGCCCTGGGGAAGTGCAAGGGGTGACAGAGCCACGTTACTGCCAGACCTCGAGGGACACTGGGTCACAACAGCAGCACACAGTGAACAGGAAACCCTCTGGTTTCTAAGGAGCCAGTTTGTAAGGAGGAGGGCACAGCACTGTTTGGGAAGTGTGGGAGAACATCCCAGCTCCTCTGGGACATCTCCAGGATGCACAGGGCTGGAATTCGGTGTAATTCAGGGTGCTTTGAAAGATGCCACTCAGAAGGGCTTGCCAGACTCCTGGCCTCACATCAGAGCTGCCCACAGCAAGCTCTCCAGGATGAAAGGCAGGTGGGTGGGGAGCCAGGATCTGCCCCAGAGGGGCTGGATGGTGCTTGTTGTGCACATGGTCCAGTAATACTCATGGGCATGAAGTACCCAGGCAGCATCTCCTGACCTGAAGGAGGTCAGACAAACCTGGCCTCTCAGGGGAAATCTATGGCTCTTGCCCACCAATGCACCACTGCCAGGGTGTTGATAGAGGAGCCAGCTGCCAGAACAGCCCCAGGAGCTGCCTGGTGCCTGGCAAGGGAAGAGCCCCCCCGGGCACTCACCAGCTGTAGCCGAATCTCCACCTTCACCAGGGGGATGTCCAGCACCTTCGGCAGTGGGATCCCGGGGCGCAGAGCGGCTGCGGGCACAGACAGGTCCTGACACACCCCCGGGGGCCAGCCTGGCACCCACCCTGCCAGAGCTGCTCCCAGGGGGCCAGGGCAGCAGGGCTGCTTGGGAGGCAGGGACCCAGCACACTCAGGACACTAAGGATAAGGTTGGGACTTAACTGCAGCCTCCAAAGGGGGCCGCAGACCTTGACCCGCTCTGGCTCTCCTGCTGCAGCTCTCCAGGGTGCCCACCCCCCTCCTCCCCTCGGAGCTGTCCTGGTGGCACAGCCACCCCCGTCACCTTACCGTTGGCAAGGGGCAGGAACATTTCCCCCAGCAGACTGCTGCAGTGTGGCTTCAAGGTTGAGACCTGAAGCAGAGAAGGGACAAGCGTGAGTTGCCAGGCACACGAGAGCAGCGAGCACAGCCCAGCACCAGAGCTGGAGGGCAGCCAGCCCCCAGGACTGGAGATCACTTCCCCCGACACACCAAGGGGACAAACAGTCCCTCTTCCCTTCAAAGCAAATCTGCTTTTCTTCCTCAATTTGGATTTGGTGCTTTCTTTGGGAAACCTTCTATCAGGTAAAACTGTTGCTGGAGCCCTGCCTGAGCTTTGCCTAAGCAGGGGTGAGCAGACAGACAGACTGCAGGCTTTACATTTGCATTACTGGAAAATGCAGAAACAAAAAAAAGAAAGGAGGAAAAGGAGGATTGCTGTGACCTACAAAGCAGAGCAGCCAACAGCTGAGACCAGCAGCAGCTGGAATCCACCCCAGCCAGGACACCACAGCATCCCACAGCAGCCACATCCCTCCTTCCCCAGTGCCCAGGGCACGGGACTCGGGCACTCTGCCCACCCAGCAAAGCCTAGCCTGGCATGAGAGACTTACGTCAGTGATGCCAACGTCAGACGACTCCAAGAAGAGGGAGATTCTGCAGGAGAGGAAAGCAAACAGCACATCAGGTGCCAGGGCAGTGGGCAGAGCTCGCAGAGCCCATGGCACAATGCCGGGCACCGCTGCTCAGCGCCGGGGCAGGAGCGAGGCCTCAGTGGGCCACTGGAAAGGCAGCACCCAAACCAGGCACTGCCATGCTTGTGAGAGGGAAAAGAAAACAGGAAAATAAAAGCTTCACCAAATTTTTATTGGCATGCAAAGCAGCAGCACTTCAACTGGGCACACACCAGGTCCTGGCCTCCCCTTCCCTCTCCCGTGCCCAGGTAGTTATTCACCTCAGGAGCAGAGTCAGCTCCTGCCTGGCTGAGAGCAGAGCTCCCAGAACAAGCATCCAGTCTGGATTTAAAGATCATGAGCTCTGGAGAATTTGCTACTGCTCCTAATCTATCACTGCAATCACACAACTATCTCCAGAGCTAAAACATGTGCTTTATTTCCACATCAAATTTCTCTCTTCTACTTCTATTGAATCTTGTTATAGCTTTTGTCTATTGAATTAAAAGCCCTTTGATACATTTCTGTTCTCTGTATTGCTGCATACAAGCGATGCCAATGTTGCTTCTAAATCTAGCCCTTTGACAAGCAGAATGGTTTGAAACCCTCAAACCTCACACTGCAAGGAGCACTCTCCAGTCTTCAATCACACCCCACCGGCGCTAACGGCAGCACTTGCCTTTACTCCTTTATCACTCGTGTCCAATGTTGGACACTTCAAACCACTGCCCAGCATCAAAGCCAGCTGACAGTCTTACAGTTATTGAGGTTACCCTATTTCTCCTTGTTATAAAACTGACAGAGTTTTCCTCCAGTCTCCTAAAACTTTCCCACTGCTGCAATGTTTCCTGCGAGTCAGCGGGACCTCGTGCCACCAGCCAGGGGTGAGATACTCAGATTCAGCAAACTCAATGTCTGGTTTACAGACATTGATAACATTTCAGGTTGGTGGCCCCAGAGTGAAGGCTGCAATGCAGAGACTGCTGAGGGGAGCCCCCCGAGGGGGTTCTGAGCCCCCCAAGGGGCCAGCCTACCTGCCCAGGGACAAGCCCAGCACCAGCCGGACTCCAGACAGCGACAGGCGGGCGTTCAGACTGAGGTCCTGCAAGCACACAGGGACAGGATCAGCCCGTGGGGCCAGGATCAGCCCGTGGGGACGTCCCCATGCCAGCTGCCAGTCACTTAGCTGGCTGCTGGCTTCAGCGGTTTGAGGGCTCTACACCCACACTTACAGCCCTCAGGAGCAGGATGCTGAGGATGGACCCGTCCGCACGCTTGATGAACACGTGGATCAGGACCGAAAGCTTGACAGTGGCTTTGTTTTCTTCCAGGAGGATGAGTGGGCTCCCAGACAACGTCAGCTTAAGGCTCAGAGGACTGGTCCCACCGCAGGCAGAGCACTGTGGGAACGGGGGACACGTGGTGGTGGCCACCAGCACCCCACACACTGGCCAGGCACTGGCCTGGCAGCCCGCTGGTGGACTCTCACAGCCCCACGATGGTGTAGGGCCTCCCCCAAAGTCACACAGAGCTTGAGGAAGCCAAATTTGAAGAGCAAATGGGTCCTGCAGCATGGGTCAGCAAGGGACTGAGGCAGCAAAGGTGGGCACAGAGGGGGCTGTGGCTCTAAGAGGGTGATGGAAACAGGAGATGCCAGACGTTCATCATCTCTCTGTCAGAGGCTGTGAGCTGTGAGTGAACACACGTCCCTGCTCGGGGCACAGGAGAAGGTCAGCTACAGCTGGTGGCACACAGGAGAGCAGGCACCATGCAGACACTGCCAGGGTGAAGGACTCCAGTCCCTTCACCCACTCCCACCAGCCAGCCTGGCAGCAGGGCAGCCTCAAGCTGTGCTGGCACGGCTCGGCTGTGCTGCACGCTCAGCGTGGCCAAGGAGAGGGCAGCAGAATTCTGGAGACCTTTGGCAGCAGCACGCCAGCAGGGCCAGGTGCACCACTCAGACCTGGCGAGGTTCACACAACGCCTGGCAGCAGCAGCAGCTACTCACCCC